TACGGATAACCACTGTGCGTTGTCGTCTTTGTCTTTGCTGTCGTCCACGAGACTCTCGGAATGTGGGTAATTGACGATATCGTCGGCCCATTTCTTCCGCTGTCCACCGTGTCTTCGCTGTGCTGGGCGTGGATCGTGGTTTTGCGGTTCCCATTTGGCCACTCAAAGAGTCCACCTGTCGGAATCGTGTCCTGCTAAGCGCGATGTCCATCTCCATTTCCTTCTGGAGTACACAGTTGTCCACTCTGGCACATGTGCTCTTGAAGCGTGGCATGCTGCTTTGTGTGTCGCTCTCTGTATGAAGTCAGCCCATGGTTCTAGCTCTTCGTCGTTGTTTTCGCGCGCGAGGCCCTCGTCGCTTGAATTGCTGATGTCGGGAGCGTTGCGGTTGTGGTCAGTGTCGTCACAAGCGCGCAGGCTATGAGTGCTGCGTCGCCGCGGCATCCCCACGATGAGCCGTAGCGTTTTCCGTTGAACACGTCTAAGAGTGAGGAGCATGTCATTCGTGAGGGTCCACGATGAGCACCCATACATCACTGACGGCGTGATTGTGCCGTTGAAGAGACGCAATCGACTGTGCAATGGAAGCCGCTTGTTTGTAAGCTCGTGCCGCAACTGGTTGAACTGGCCCCACCCTGCAGCGATCCGGTTGTGTAGCTCCGCGTTTGGTCTGAACTCAAGATCTCGATGCTCTCTCTGCTGATGTTGACATGGCTGATTGTTCTGCCTTTCTTCCGGCTGATATTCGTCAGGATCTTCGTTTTGTCCGGGCGCAATGACAAGCCACATTTTTCTGCCTGGGCGCGGACATCTCGAAGGAGGCAAGCGAGTTGTCGCAAGTTGAGCGCGCAGAGCAGCCCGTCGTCGGCGAAGCGCAAGTTCGTGATCCGCGCTTGTGGTGCGAATCCCAAGTGGATGCCAAAGTGCTTTCGAAGCCGCGTTGGTTAACCTTGCCTGAAAACATGCTGAATGGGTCCCCTCGTTTTACTCCTCGGTCGATGTTGAAGGGTCTGCTCGTGGTGTCGGTGCGAACGGTTGCTGTCTGGTCGCGGTGCAATTGCTTCAGGAAGTTGATGTAGGCTGACGGTATATGCTGTTGCCGCAAGGCCTCCCATAGGCATCCATGGTCAACGCAGTCGAACGCCATCTTGAAGTCTATGGCTGCCGCCCAGAGCGGTAGCTGCCACTCGTAAGAACGTTCATGGAGCATTGCAGTGGTGAAGAGGTGGTCCTCGGCGCAATAGTTTTTGTTCCTGAATCCTGCTTGGTCAGGGCGCTGCTGCGGGTCAAACAGAGAGCTCAGCCGTTTGCAAATGAGGCGAGACAGAAGCATGTATAGCAATGGTATGATTGCAATTGGTCTGTAATTGCTTGGAGGCTTCAGGTCTCCAGACTTGTGGATCACAGTGGGGGCGGTGCTCCTCCATTGGTCCGGGGGGGTCTGTTTGGTCTTGACGAGGTCGTTGTAGAATCGCAAGAGGTGGTCTCGCATGGTAGCGCCGCCTGCTTTGAGCAGCTCTGCTGTGATTCCCGCAGTGTCTGCGCACTTGCCGTGTTTGAGCTGGCGGGTTGCTTTGTGGAGTTCGTTCTCTGTGGAAGGTGCGATGGTTGTGTCGGTCTGAGTTTCTTCCGGGGTGTTGTCGGGGTTGGGTGCTTGATGCGGGTCCTTGTGCAACTTCTCGTGGAAGTCGGCGAAGATGTCTGCTATGCTCTGTCTGTCTGTCTCTTCCGTGCCTGTGGTTGACATCGTCGAAGCGATCAGATCCTTTGGCTTACTAGCTCTCAGTGCCTCAATATTCTTCAGCCCTTTGAATTGACAAACAATTTCTTCAAGTTTGACGTCCGCTTCGGCGCGTTTGATGGCCCTGGTCTGTCGTAATATTTGCTTGCTGAAGGATATTCGCCTCTCTGTGTCTCCTGGTGCTGCAGTGCGTCGTTGTTCGATGAGCGCCTTGAGCCGCGCGGTGAGTCTGTCGTCAGGCATGTCTGGAAGATCCGCAACCCCTTGATTGTGATGCTCGTGGTATGTCTTCGTGAGCAAGTTTGAGACCTTCTCCAATGCCATTGCATCTGGCGTCAAAGTCTGCGTCGCTGCTGCAGTCGGCCAAGTGTTGTTGCAAGTGGCACTGGTATAAGTGGTCGTCAGTTTGAGGAATATTGCGTCGTATTTCCTTGTGCTCCTCGCTCCTCTTTGCCGTTGCCCTGAAGGCCAGTTTTGCGTGCGCTGCTTGGTGGTCAGAGCCAAGGTCTGGGACGTTGGACGCGAAGGAGTCGATCACCTGGTTGTGGCACTTTCTGTCGATGAGTACGTCATCAATCTGCTCCTGGATTGGTGTTTTGCCGCTGCTCGTGTGAGTAAACATGTTGCGGTTGTGTTTGTAGGAGAACGTATTCGTGATGATGAGCTTCTGTGTGCTTGACCACGCTCTGAGCCATGTCGCTCGTGGATTGCGCGTGCCCATGACGAAATTTCCAACTGAGTCCCTCCGCCGTGTGCTGTCTGGTCGCTCGTCGCCGTCGTCGCGGTCGTCGTCTGTATTGCTAGGTTGCCGGCCCACTTGCGCGTTGAAGTCCCCTGTGACGATGCGCGCCCGATTGTCGCGAGCTGCGTCGGAGTGCAGTGCGGCCAAAAAGTCACGCATGCTTTGGACGTGGTAGTCCGCGTAGCCGGAGTGAGGGAAATATGCCGCTACGATTCTCATATTCTGCTTGAACGGCTTGAGGTCGATGTAAGCGATTCGTTTGTTGAGTGGTTCGAAGCGCGCAACGTGCTGGACGCGACGATTGTGCACGAGAAATGCGACTCCACGCGATGGCTCCGCATGGCCAGATGCTGCAAATAAGTGTTGTCCATTTTGTGTAACCCACATCTATTTGGGCTCAGTTCTCCAAGTTTCATTGATAGCACATGCATCCCAATGAACGCCATCCAATTCGTGCAAAAGTGCTTCGATAGAGTCGTATGTGGTGAGACTCCGCACGTTTTTGTGGAGGATGGTGAACGGCTGGCTCGACGACGAAGACTGCTCGATGCCCTGCTGGTCGCGCCCGTCGCCGCTGTCAATCTCTCGAGAGGGCGGGGCTGGAGCCGGAAGGGCAGTTTGCGAGAGAGCTGGAATCGAAGGATCCGCTGACGTTGGTTCTACCACTGGAGGCTTCCAAGCTGGATTCAGTCGTCGCGCATCGCCGGCGCAGGATGCGCAACGGCGCGTCGCCAAATACATCGCTGCAGGCACGGCTTCCCCCTCCTCTTACCCTTGTTGGCGGCGGCTGATAATCGATAAATGGAGGCGGAGGTGGAAGGTCGGATGCTGGAGGTTGGAGGTCGGAGTGCTGAGCGAGTGGAAGCTGGAGGTCGATAGGTGGAGTTGTTGTCGGAATCTCGGATGCTGGAGGCCAGGTGTCAGAGCGCCGAGCTGGCGGGCGCTGGGGGTCGACAGGTGGGGGTGGACGTGGAAGGTCGGGCTCTGGAGGCTTGTTGTCGGAGTGCTGAGTGGGCGGGGGGCTGGAGGTCGATGCGCGGGGGTTGACGCGAAGAGCTGACTGCTGTTGGGCGGAGGTCGGAGTGCTGAGCTGGTGGAGGTTGGAAATCGATATGCGGAGGTTGCGATGAAAAGTCGGATGCTGGAGGTTGGGGGGGGGGGCGGAGTGCTGAGCTGGTGAAAGCTGGAGGTCGAATGGTGGAGGCGGAGGTGGAGAGTCACATGCCGTTGGAGGGTGGAGGTCGGAGTGCTGCGCTGCTGGGCGCTGGAGGTCGATAGGTGGAGGCGGAGGTGGAAAGTCGGATGCTGGAGGGTGGAGGTCGGCAAGCTGAGCTGCTAGACGCTGGAAGTCGACGGGTGGAGGTGGGGGTGGAAAGTCACATGCTGCTGAAGGGTTGAGGTCGGAGTGCTGCGCTGCTGAACTCTGAAGGTCGACAGGTAGAGGTGGAGGTGGAAAGTCGGATGCAGGCGGGCGGAGTTCGAAGTGCTGAGTTGCTGGACGCTGGAGGTCGATGGGTGGAGGTGAAGGTAAAGAGTCGCATGCTGCTGGACGGTGGAGGTCGGAGTGCTGTGCTGCCGGGCGCTGGAGGTCCACAGGTGGAGGTGGAGGTGGGAAGTCGGATGCTGGAGGGTGGAGGTCGGAGTGCTGAACTGCTGGACGCTGGAGGTCTTAGGTGTCATCGGGCTGAGAGTTATTTTAATCATGCGGTGTGCCGATTAGCTCCGTTTAGCTTCTATTATTTTTTACTCAGTCGTACTAATCCTGCCTATTGGCCCGCCAAATCTTTGACCGGGGAGCGATGCGCCGGCGCCGCCAGCCCTCGGGCCGCCTTGCGGGGCGCTCTGGGACGCCCCTACTACCATGTCTTTTTCGGTTGCGGGGCCTTATAAGTACTTAAGACGCCTTATAACGACTTATAAAAAAATTAAGAAAAAGCTATCTTGGCTGTATCATAAGTGTTTGTAAGTGTTTATAAGTTCCCCATAAGTTTTCCATAAGTTTTATACGTGTTTTTAAGTGTTTGGTTAAGTTTAACATAAGTGTGTTTAACTTTTCTTGCTCTGTATACATTGCCATTTGGGGCCCATATACCAGACAGCACTTGGCAGTCTATCACGCCTCAGCGTGCCAGGGGGCACGGTGGTGGATCTCATTAATTCACTGCGTGGGCAACCGTGGGGCAACCACGGGACAACCAGAGGACAACGGCCTCAACCAGAACAAAGGTCCCAGAAATATTGCCACGACCACTGCATCAAACATCATCATAATCAAAAACGTAAGCATCATTCAAAACATCATCGGCATAAACGCAGCCATCGTAACCATCAGAAGCATCATGTACGCAACAATCATATACATCACAGTCTCATGATTATAGCACGCAACATAAACATATCATCAACAGAACGCAAATGCCAACATCAACCGAAGCCATTTTTGGCTTAGTCCTTTATCGCCCTATAGGGCGCAGTTCTTTGTCGCCCATTTTGGGCCCAGTTCCCGCGCGGTCAGGGATGTCTCAGCTGATCGGTTTCGTTCGGCAGCGCGTCGAGTACGTGGCGCTCATGGCAAAGTGCGGCTCGACGGGCGACAAGCTCCAGCAGTTGAAGACCGACGCTTGCACTGGCATCCTACAGGCCATTCGCACCGTCAAGGGCGTGAAGCCAGAGGACGCCATGCAGATACACCAGATCATCAGTGAGTGCCTCCCGTCGAGCAGCGTGGAGCCCATCATGACCAGCCTCGACGGAAAGGTGCACTTGGCAGGCACCACTCTGACTGGTGTGGTCATCCAGGAGAAGCAGGCCCACACTCACCTCGACCTCTACTTGACCGAGGAGGCCTGGACAAAGTTCCTCGACTCGAGCATTGACCCTCAGACTAAGCTGATGTCCATGGCGATGCTCTTCGTGCTGATCGGCCTTCGGAACCCCGACGAGAAAACGTTCGCTCGTGGCACAGCGCTGGCCCTACAGACGGAACCATACAGCGTCGGTCGTCTCGTCGAGGAGACCCGCAGGTTGAAGCCGCTCGTGAAGTCCACGGCTGGGAGCTCCCCGCACATGCTTGTGGGGCCAACTGTGTATCCTGATGACGTGGAGGCGTTCAAGCAGATGTTCCCAGACGTGTGGAAGCAGGCCTTCGAGGCCTCTCCGCCAGCTCCTACGCGGTGGAGCCCGCAGCACAGGGCCATGGTGGAGCAGATGAAGGTCTGCAGGAGCTCGAAGAACGGGTGCGAGCAGATAGTGCAGCCCGCGAGGGCGACCAGGAGCTTCATGCGGCAGTGCACGAGCAGCCCGTCCACCATGTGTGCACCGAGGTCCCTCCTACCTGGCGCAGTGGCGAGCCCGTCGGCCATGGTGCCCTATGCGGCGCCTTCGCCGATCGAGATCGGGGACTCGCATCAGTTGCCGCCTCCAGCGACCTTTCCAGGCGGTGCTCATCAAGTTCCAGGCGATGCTCTTGTTCCAGTCGGTGCTCAGACAGCTCCAGTCGGTGCCGCTCCAGTTCCACAGGCTGCTGCAGTTCCAGTCGGTGCTCATCCAGTTCCAGGCGGTGCTCATCAAGTTCCAGTCGGTGCTCACCCAGCTGCAGTTCCAGTCGGTGCTCATCAAGTTCCAGTCGGTGCTCAAGTTCCAGTCGGTGCTCCAGTCGGTGCCGCAATTCCAGTCGGTGCTCCAGTCGGTGCTCATGTTCCAGTCGGTGCTGCCCAGGCGGTTGCAGGCCCGAGCATGAAGGAGGTCACGCAGATGATCCAGAAGAAGCTCAAGGGCGGCGCCAAGGACATCACGGAGCAGGCGGACGGCGCTGAGGGTGACGAGGACGGAATCGGTCGAATGGCGATGGTGATGGCGACGGTGGCGACGGTGATGACGACGACGGTAGCGGTGATGATAACGACGGTGATGACAACGATGATGTTGACGATGACGTTGGCGATGATGACGGCGGTGATGAGGGTGACGATGATGACGATGACGACGATGACGACGATGATGATGATGACGATGATGACGATGGCGTTGACGATGCTGATAACGACGATAATGCTGACGATGATGACGACGATGATGATGACGATATTTGCCTCCTCCCCCTCCTCCTGGAGGGGGGCTGGGGAAGGCGTCAGGAATTGTGGCCCCGTCCTCTCCCCCCTCCCGACCTCTTCCGTCCAGGAGCCAAAGCTCGAGCCGATCGCGGCGCCGAAGAGCAAGGCCAAAGCCAAGGCCAAGGGCAAGGCCAAGGCAAAGGCCTCGAAGAAATCCCCTGCAGTGTGCAAGTCGGCATCCCCTCAGAACGTACATAAAGGTGATGACGACCTCAAGTATTCTACGAAGTTGCTTCCGAGGTTTTTCAAGGACGTGACGATCTACACGTCCATGGCAAAGAAGTGCTACAGAGTGAAGCCGCGCCCAGGTGCCATCGAGGAGACCCTCTTCGCTTTCGGCGTCCACGGCGGCCGCGCGAAGGCCTGGGCGGCAACCGTGAAGCACGCGCGGTCCGTCAAGTGAGGCGCGCGGTTCGATTCGAACCGTTCGAATTCTACGGGAGGGAGCTTGTGGTGATTCATTGCTCTCGGTGCGTGTGCGGGGCGCACGCATATCCCCGCATGTGCTGCCCTTCCTTTTCAGTCGTCCCGCGGCGGCGCGAAGCCGGAATTCGGCTGGCTCCCCGCGAGCGCGCTCTCCCTCGTCGTGGACACGGCCGCGATTGCTCAGTGTACGCAGAAAGGCAGAAAAGCAAACAGGTTGCTCAGCGTGCCCAGCATGACGACGACAACGGACGACGACGACGATAACGACGGGCGACGACGATGACGACGGAGGAGGGCGGTTGATTTTCAAAATGCGGCCCTCGCCTGAGCGCCTCGGACATTCGTCTTACAAGTCTGCAACAGCTACTAGGATGGAGGACAGGCCGTCATCAAAATGGGGCTCTCGCCGTGGCGCCGCGGACATCCGCCCTAAAGGTTTCAACAGCTCGAGGGATGGAGGGTGCGTACTCATCATGGTTGCCACCATCGTCGTCATCATCATAACCACCGATGTCACCATCGCACGCATCATCGCACTAAAGGTTGATATCGCGACATACAATTACGATCACATCCATGAGCACGACGACACACATCGCAATGGTTCAACTAATACCACTTACATCGTCATGCTCACCATCCTTGCCGTAGGTAGCTACCTCGGCTCAGTCCTCGCGATTAGGCCCGCGCCGCGGCCCCTCCGTGAAGTGCGATCGCCCATACATGGCCCCGAAGACGCAACAGCAGCCCACGCGGGAGGCGTTGGCCCGCAAGGTGACTAGGCTCGAGAACCTTGCGCAGAAATACAAGAACGAGCGCGACCTTGAGAAGAAAAAACTTAAGGAACTAAGCCGTGAGAAGAAGTTGTTAGAGACCGCCATTGGGGACCTCTTGAAGACAGGCTTTCGGTTTCTCAAGTCAGGGTGGACCCCGACCGTGGTGAGGAGCGTAGTTCGCAAGGTGTTTGACGACGCTGGGCCGCCTTGGATGAAGCTCAAAGTGTCTCAGAGCTCTGACAGTGATTGAGTCTGCCAGTGAGGTTATCGTTGCGCTGCGTTTTTAGATTTTGTCGCCAACTCCATCGGGGGTTGGAGGACGATGGGCGGAGGGAGGTTAGGGGGTGGGGGTGGAGTAGGGAGGAGGGGGGAGGATCGTAGTGCAACTTAGCAGGGCGGTGCAGCAGTCAGCGCGAGTTTGCCGTGATTCGTTGCTCGGTGCCAGCAATGAGGAAAATCTTGGCGCGTCGTCTGCCCCCCCATATCATCCTCCCCCCACTCCCCCCCGCGAGAGGCTACGTGGATGCATTGCCACATCTTCTGGCCCCCATCCACCCGTACATAGGATTTTGGCTCAAGCATTTCGCCTCGACCCTTTTTGCAGCTGCGCTCAGTGCCAGCATATATCGGACACAATGCCAGGCGCGTTGTCCAAGTGCTCCAGTTGCGGGCAGGAGTGCCCAGAGGGGCACAAGGGCCGCTGCAGGAGGTGCAACACCATGAACACCAGGGTCCACCGCGTGCTGGAGGGCGATGACGCCAGCAAGTTAGCGTTCTCAGCGAAGGTCGTCGACAAGGCTGGCTTCTTCGAGCGCGCCAAGAACGTCTTCGGGGAGGAGCTGAGGTCCATGATCATGTCGGAGATCGAGGAGAAGTCCGAGAGCTTCACCGAGGTGGAGCTGCAGGGGCCGGGGAGCTTCCTCGACGAGGAGGACATGAGGGACAAGTACAAGAACAAGCCGAAGCGCCTGCAGGGCATCTTGGATCGCGCGAGGCGCTTCACGGACCCGATTTCGGGCGTGGAGCTCATCGAGGACATGGAGTACAAGAGCCTGTCGAGGACAGGGCAGAGGGACACGTCCTCGGTGAAGCGCACGGCCAACAGCGAGGAGCAGTACAAGCCGCCGAAGAAGAAGAAGGCCGAGCAGCCTTCAGCCGCCGACGGTTCGACCGACCAGCCCGAGCCCTTGACTGATGCGGTCAAGAAGCACATCACCGCGGCGAAGGGTGTCATCGAGAAGGCAGTGGAGAAGCTCGGGAACTCGCAGTGCGGCATCCTGGATGAGCAGAAGCCCAACTTCTACGAGTACGTCCCGCAGTACGTCATCAACAGGAACGCCTCCGTGGTCGCCAGGGCCCAGGCGCTCGTGACGCTCATCGGCCGGGCCTTGGAGGCCGAACAGATCGTGAACCCAAAGGGTGTCCAAAGCAATATCGCGGAGCTGAAGTCGGAGCTGCAGGAGACCACGCGCATCACGAAGCTGCAGGTGACCGAGGCCAAGAAGTTGGTCGAGGAGCCTGAGGAGCCCGAGGATTGAGGCCGCAGGCGGAGCTGCAGGAGCCAGCAGCGCGAGGTCGCACGACCTCGCCCGAGCCCCGTGGTGCACCGAGACGGCGGTGCAAGCGCACTGTGTTTAGTGCGATTCCTATGCGCCGTTGCACGCTTTCACGTGGAGCCGACCCCCGCGGGCCTGTGGTGGATCATTGCCCGCGCGCGTTCAAAAGGGAAAAACAGTCATCACCACCAACACCACCAACAGCATCATGATCATCACAATCAAAATGAACATCACCAGCATCATAAGCTCTCAAAGGTCAGCATCAGCAACATCATAGCCCGCACCAGCATCAACACCAACAACCTCATCATCAACATCATTATCATCAACTTCAGCATCAAAGGAAAGCAATTAACATCAACATCCTTAACATCATCATCGACATCATTAACATCATTAACACCATCATCGGCACCATTATCATTTCTCGGGGGGCAAACAAAGGAAGCAATTAACATGAAACTGGCGTGCCCTCGCCCCCCCTCCCTCCTCGGTCAACCCCATCTGCCCTCCTCCGCCGTTTCAGTTCGAGGCTATGGAGAGATCGGAGCCGCTCCCCGAAGTAGAGGCCGAATTCCGAGATGATATCTCTAGCTCCTCAAGCACTGCTTCTTTTATGGCCCGCACGGGGTGCGTAATTAGGTACCACAGGAGGTTAGAGACATTTGTGTTGCAATGGTGCACTAAGCTTAGATTGACTAAGTTCCGACCGTTGTCGCATCGCGAGCTGCAGAGAGTCGAAATCCCAACCCCCTCTGCCATGCCTAACAATTTGGTCTGCCCGACCGTTCGCGCCCGATGGGATGAGATATACCAGCACATAGAGCCGCACGTCGAGGAGGCGATCGCGAATTTCCACAAGTGGGTCATGACCTCGAGCCCCGAGGGTTGGCAACCGTTCAAGGATTGACCCTAATTGCCCGAAGCCTTCGAGGGGGTGGGAGGGGAGGATAGACCGAGGGCGGGAGGAGGGGAGGGTGGGGGGAGGGCAACGAAAAATGACCCCCCTGAGGAGGCCTTGCAGCGAACGGCACGCGGATTGGCTGAGATCAGCGTGGGAAGGCCGACTGCGGCCGACTATGAGGACACGGGGGTGGAGGGAGGAGGGAGGAGGAAGGAGGGAGGAGGGGGGAGGGAGGAGGGGGGAGGGGGGAGGAAGGGAGGAGGAAGGGAGGAGGGGAGGAGGAAGGGAGGAGGAAGGGAGGAGGAAGGGAGGAGGAGGGAGGAGGAAGGGAGGAGGAAAGGAGGGGGATAGGGAGGAGGGAGGGGGAGGAGGAGGAGGAGGAGGAGGAGGAGGAGGGGAGGAAGGGAGGAGGAAGGGAGGAGGAAGGGAGGAGGAAGGGAGGAGGAGGGGAGGAGGAAGGGAGGAGGAAGGGAGGAGGGAGGAGGAAGGGAGGAGGAAGGGAGGAGGATAGGGAGGAGGAGGGAGGAGGGAGGGGGAAGGGAGGTTGAAAGGAGGGGCATGTCGGCCAGGAGATGGATATGTACATGAGCCTGCCGATGAACGAATCTGAGACCGCGCGCGAAGCTGGCTGGCCATGGCCGTTTCCTTTCTCCTAGGGATCGAGAGGCCAGCGTGGAAAACAAACGAGCGAGGGGCTCAGGATGGCCCATGGGGGCCTTATAAGAGGGCCCTGTAGGAAGGGCCAAGAGGGCCACGTGAGATCTTAAGGGGCGCAGGATTGCCCATGGGGGTTTCAGGGGGGCCCCAGGAAGTTTCCCATCGGGACCCAAGAGCCCAAGCGGGCCCCCAGAGGGCCCCATCTGAAGCCTTTGGCACGGAGCTTTCCAGAGGGCTCCTGGAGATGTCAGGAGGGCTTCCCAGGAGGGCTC